TGAAGAAATGCCAAACTGTTTTCCACAGTGGCTGTATCATTTTACACTGAGTGGATGTAGGACCTTTGTCAAAAATCAACTGCCTATAGATAAATGGGTTTATTTCTTGACGCTTAATTCTTTTCTGTTGGTATACATGTCTATCCTTATAACAGTTCCACACTGTTGATTACAGTATCTTTGTGGTAAATTTTGAAATCATAAAGTGTGAGTCCTCTGACTCTGTTATTCTTTTCCTAGATTGTTCAGGGCCCCTTGAAACGGTCTATGAATTTGAGAGTCAACCTTTCCATTTCTAAAGATTGTTAGAATTTTGACAGGGATTGCACTAAACCTACAGTCGGTATTGATAGCTTAACAATATTGTCTTCCTACGCAAGAACATGGATGTCTTTCCATTTATTTAGGTCTTACTTAATTTCTTTTAGCAATGTTTTTTAACTTTCAGTGTAGAAATCTTTCACCTCATTGGTTATATCTATTAATAGGTATATTAGTCCTTCAGATGCTAACACATATAGAATTGTTTTCAGTTTCCTTTCTAGATCACTTATTGTGGGTGTATACTAACAACAGATTTTTATGTGTCCATTTTGTACCCTGCAATGTTGCTGAATTCATTTATCAATCCCAGCAGCTTTCTTTTGGATTCTTTGGGATTTTCAAATACAGAATCATGTCATCTGAGAAGACAGACAGTCTTACTTCTATCTTTACAATTAGGCATCTTATTTCATTTTCATATTTAACTAAACTTTCAGTGGAATGATGAAGAGCAATGGTAAAGGGAGCATCCTTGTCTTGTTCCTAATCTTAGTGAGGAACTTTTGAGTCTTTCACCACTGAGTTTGACGTTACCTGTGAGTTTCTCATAATTGCCCTATAGTATGCTGAGGAAGTCCCCTTCCATTCCTAGTTTCCCGAGTGTTTTGATTACAAAAGAGTATAGGATTTTATCAAATGCCTTTTGTGTATCAGTTAAGATGACCATCTGTTTTTTCCCTTTTTCTATTAATGCTAGGTATGTTACAAGGACTGATTTTTTTAAGCTGAACCAAACTGTACTCCTGGGATAAATCCCACTTGGTCATAGTGTCCACTCCTTTTAATATGCTGTTGGTTCAGTTTGGCAGCATTTTGTTGGATTTAACAGGCATGTATTTTGAAACAATGATCAGAAAATAATACAAAAATACAGTTATAGCTTATATTATTTTTTAGTTGTTAAGAATTATTTTTTAATTGAGGGGGAAATGTACATATCTTTAAGACATTCTGTTAAATACTAAATATTAAAATGAAGTGAAAGGAAAAATTATCCCTTTTTATGTCAGTGGTAAGTTTTACAAGCTCTTTGGAATGTTGCAATTTTAAAGCTGTTGGTTAAGTATCCTTTTTACATACCTGCAAATATATAAAGTAAAAAAAAAAAAAATCTACAGGATGAATGTAACATCAAAAATTTAAAATCTACTCCTAAAACAAAAAGTAACAAGAAAATAATTTACCCCTTCATAGAAAACTTTTGCACAGTCCTTTGCTAATTTTCCAAAAAATAATACATTGATGGTGTTGATCTCCAAATTTGAATTTTCTTGTTCTATAGAGAAAAACACACATACAGAAAAACACTAATTAGATACAACAGTTTTACACACACAAGAAAATTGATGACAACTACATTCTAAAAACTAGTTATTTCAAAATATAATTATGAAGGATAATTAAAATTTTTATAATTCACTTTTAGTTTAATACCTTAAGTATTGCAAAGATCATGCACAGAATACTATTAGGTACTAAAACCAAAATTGTAACAAACTTCAACTAGAATACATTTTATAAATTTCTATAAATATCACATTAACAGCATAAAATAACTGTATTCTATTTATTTTCCATGTTTATAATAAAAAGAAACTTAATATGGTAATTATTCAATTTTTATACTATATAACGTATCACCCCCAAAGTAGTTCACTTTTTCTGAGCTTCTAGTAATCTACAGTGTCAGCACATTAAGGTTTTGATTTTGTTTTGTCTTAATTTATTTATTTGACAGACAGAGAGAGAGCGCAAGCAGGGGGAGCGGCAGGCAGAGAGAGGGAGAAGCAGGCTCTCCGGTGAGCAAGGAACCCGACCTGGGGCTTGATCCCAGGACCCCAGGGATCATGACCGGAACTGAAGGCAGACACTTAACGGACTGAGGCACCCAGGCACCCCTCAGCACATTAAGTTTTAATAAAGATAAGTGTATTTTCTCCTCCAGCATGCACAAATGAAAGTGTAAAAGAGCAGAGTGTGTGTAAAGACCAAACTAGTTATGATTTTAAAAATGAAATTTAATTGGGGGGAAAAAAAAAGAATTTCCACAATGTTCACTCTCCAGAGATCACCTTCTATAACCAAAGCAGCAGGGCCAAATGCTAAGACTGAATTATATCATCTGAGGAAAGTCTCATTCATATCAACTTTCAAATATTCAACTACTCCAAGAAACTGCCATCATATCAGATTTTTATGCATCTATAGAGTATATGAAAGATCTTTCCCAAAATGATAGTCTTTTTTGTGTAACCTAGAACTCTTGAATCTGCTACTCTGTCAGGTCTGGTGGCGCTCATAGTGAAACAACTACCACACAGCTGACACTGATCTCTTCAACTCCTCAAAACAGGTGTATACATAAACTGAAACACTAATGTTTCTCTAATACAAAGCACAGCGTTCTCTAACCAAAACATAACATACTGTTAATATCTTAAATGACCTATCAGATGTCTGTGTCTGGCCATGATGGATTAATAGACACTGGGTTTATTCTCAAGTCTTAAAATGACTAGAAAACTAAGAAAAAATATAAGAAACAACAGTTTTCAGGTATCAGACAACAGGGAGTGCAGGAAAGTGATCTGAAAAGGAAAATAAGACAATACCCCTATCTTACTTCCTGGAGAGTTTCCAGGCAGCAGAAAATGGAGCCAAAATCCAAACAAAGCTCAGCAGTCTTCACTGAATTCAGAAGAGTGCAGATATGAGGATACCAAGGTGGCTAGAATTTGCAGGGCAGAATGCTGAAAGCGGGACAGCAGCACAGACAGAGAGTGCTCTGGCGATCTGAAGATGGGTGCCTTCGGGTCTTTGGATGAATATCTCCAAGTACATGGAAGGCAAGTACCTCATGAAGAGGAAGAACCACTTGAAAGGAATAGGCAGAACAGTTCTGAGACTCACACAGGGTTAGGAACTGTTCTTGTTCCAACCAGACAGAATGGAATCCACACACACAAGGCATAGAGTAGAATTGTCAGAAGGGTATTTCCTTAGTGATATGGCCAAATTGGCCTGAAAATAAAGGCTGTTCTATACCCACCCCAACAAAGCTAATCAAACTGATTCCAAGAAAATTAAATGTATCCCAAAATAAAGACACGTAATAGTTAAAGGATGGATAACAAAGAAATCCAACATTTGCTAATATAAAATTCTAAATGTTTGGTATCCAGTAAAAAATTACCAGCCATGAACATGATGAGGAGAAATGGAAGATATAAAAAAAAAATCTCAAAATGAACTTTCAGAATTGAAAAATATAGTATTAGAAGTTAACAGTACACTGAATGGAATTAACAGATTAACTGAAAATGTTACAGAAAACCAAAAAACAGAGAAGAATCAATGAAAAGAAAAGCTGATTTTAAAGATCAATAAAATAGATATCTAGCCAGAATGATCAGGAAAAAAATGAAAGAGTGGTCACAAATTATCAATGAATGAAAACAGGACGTCACTACAAACCCTACCAACATTAAAAGTATATCAAAAATATATTATGAATAACTTTATGCCAATATACTTGACAACTAAGATGAAACAGATAAATTCCTTTAGAAACACAAACTACTGAAGCTTACTCAAGGGAAAAAAAGATAAAAAAGAAAAGCCCTATTAACAAATAAATTACACTGAATTTAGGGTTTGGAACTTCCCCATAAAGAAATTTTCAGGCACAGTTGGCTTCACTGATGAATTTTACAAACATTTAAGAAGAAATAAAAGCAATTATAGATAAACTCTTCCAGAATATAGAAGAGAAGGAAGCACTTAACAGCTCTTTTCAGGAGGACAGCATTACGCTGATACCAAAATCACTCAAAATCATTACAAGAAAAGAAAGACATGGAACAATATCCTTCATAAACTTAGATGTAAAAATCCTTAATCAAATATTTGTAAATTAAACCTAACAACATATCAAAAGGATGACTCATCAGGCCCACTACCTTATCATGCTATTTTTTTCTTCAGACCACATTTCTACCTAATATTACTTATGTAATTATTTACTGAATTTATTTACCTCCCTAAAATGTAAACTTCATGAAGGTAAGGGCTTTATTTTGGTCACTGCTATATCTCCCATACCTAAAACAGTGTCTAAATGTAACTGGTTTTCAGTAGTTACAGAATGTTGTAGTTCAAAGTCTGTTTCCCATTCACTGCTGCAGGCCATTCTTCAATCCAATTTCAGGCTTCAGATGAGATCTATTTTGGTCCTCAAATACTCCATGGTAGCTCTTCCTAGCCTACCAGGATTATTTCAGGGTTACTAGGAAGAAGGCATAATCTCATATAACTATACCTAGGCAAAAAATAACATGCTGAAAGGAGTGTTTTATAAGTTAAGTTTGCTAAGCTGTTTAGGTCACACTAGTGAAACCAGAAGTAGGGGGACCAGTTAGCTATTGTAACAGTTTAGATATGAGATTAAAGGGATCTGAAGTAAAATAGAAGAAATGGGTGAGGGGAGGGAGGATAGATGCTATGGAAAAATTTAGTGAAAAAAAAAACTTCATTCTATAGTTTTTTACACTACTGTGTATGTATTACCCATTAGAAATCATTTTTGTGCTTATGTGTGTACATATATATATATTAAGTTATCCATTTGTAGATTATAAGAAAAGGTTAAGCAGAAACGGTCTTATTAAATTGTATACCTTGTAGGGCAATCTTCAAAACAGCTGTTCTGTTTCCACCATAAGTTAAAGAAGAAATAAGTGAGAGTTTTCCCTAAAATGAGAGAAAAATGGTTATACAGAAAACCCAAAAGAACTTATTATAACACCAAGAGATAAGTTAAAATTAGAAAAACTATTTTAAAAGCAATAAGCTTTTATTTTTCAAAAAAATTCAAAGTACTATGTTCAAGTCACCATATTTAAGAAATGAAAGTGATTTTACTAAAGAAATTTCAGAAGGCCTAATTATTTAGGGTCATAACTTAATTTTTTAAACAATCTTATTATTAAATATTATCCAATTCCTCATTTTACAGATAAAGATGAGCTGGCTCAACTTCAGTTTCATGTTAACCCCTATAAGGTTGTTTCTACTGAAGAAAAATGAAGAGTTTGCTCCTAAAAAGAAATAAACAATAAATTAAAAAATGCAAACTGGTAATCTCATAAATAAGGGCAGTGTGGACAAAGCAATGAACTAAAGCACACATAAAGTTTAGTCCTCATTCTTCTGTAACTAACCAGCTCTGTCACCTTAAAAAAGCTATTTAATCAGCATCTCTCAGATAAAATGAAGTATTTAATCTAGGCAGTTTCTATACTTTCTTCTGGCTCTAAAATTTAATGATCCTATGAATAAATACATTATAGGTCTCTTTGAAAACTTCCACATAGAAATAAAATGTATTTAATAAAATTTAAAAATGGATCTCTAATACATATCTCCCACACTAATATTCCAGACTTTGATATAGCCGACAACAACAAAACCTATGTTCATACACCAATTTTACTTATAAGACAGGAATCAAAAAAAAAATTAAAATAAGGCTATCAGCTGTGCATGATTCGGTCAAAAGTAAAATAGTTCCACTTAGGAGATAGAAAGCTGTAAAGAACAACAAAAAGTTGGACAATGTACAAATTTCAACCTTTTTTTGACCCACCAGAGAACTGAAGTCAGAAGACAACTGATTAACCAGAAATCTAAGAAAAGAGAAGTACCTCCAATAAGAGAGAGGCAACAGTGAGTTGAGGTCACAAGGCAACCAACTAATCAGAAATCTTAAGAAAGAGAAGATGCTCTCAAGGAGAGATGGGTGGTTAAGCACTTGCTTACCTGAAGTAAATGGCAAATGCTGCCTGACATTTGTCAGAAAATTCATCTAACATTTTTAATGAGTTGCTGAAGGCCAAGTGCAGGCTAGTGAGAAGACATGGAGCTTGTGGGAGCTGCAAACACAAGAGGAATTCACACCCACTTACAAGCTCGTCTCCAAAAACCTCATGACAAAAGTCAGGCCAGGAGTCAGGACAAGGGTGGTAGCAGTTATTGTAGGAAGGCCTGCCTGAGTCTTCCCCATCTTCCTTTCAAAACAAAGTCCTTAAACTGCTAGGAGAAAGACAACAAACTTATGAATCTCATTAGAGCTTTGATGAAAATGCAGTGCAGAAAAACACTCTCTACCCTTCTAGGGATAAGGAGAAAGAGGTATACAGGTGTGAGGGCCAGACCTACAGCTAGGGACAGGGCAGAATCACTAGAAGACCTTACCCACAAGACCCAGGCTAATCTTTTTAATCTTTGTCTTTCATAACTATTCCAGAAGCCTTTCCCTTACCCCAAAGGAAAAGGCACTCTGGAGCTGCTCTCACAAACTACAGGGAACTCTGAAAGTTAGAACTAACTGCATCCCTCACCTGATGGCCCCGACCATGAGCCAGTAGGGCATGGCCCATCTCCTGTACCTTCCATGTAAGATACTTTCAAACTTTTCTACAACTCTTATACGGCAAAAGAGCTGGACAAGTAGGCCAGATTTAACTGACTTCTCTCAAGTGGTCTCTCTGCAAACAAGGACTAAACTGAAGTACCAGGACTGAACTAGGGGCTGTAAGGCTTCCCAGGTGGCAGAGCACACAGGGGTGCCTGTCAACCTGTGCCACCTGAGTGACCTCCATCCTTTCTGGAGGGTCCCCAACAACTGTAAACTCTTTGTTTTCAAGGGTAGCATGTATGCCCTCAGTATTTGTGCTTCCTGTGTGAAAGGCAGAAATCAACCAAAAAAAAAAAAAAAAAAAAGTGTGATTTGCTCCTAGGGATGGTTGTAAGAAATATTCGAGTTTTTAAGGAAACACTTTTAGTTGATTATGTGGCCCTCAGTTATAAATTAAGTAGGCAGTTTTACTCATAATAAGAGTTATCCCATTAGAAAGATAGTATATAATTTGTTCCTGTCTTTAGCTGAAGTGAGCAAAGAAAAAATGGAAGTTGAACTAAACAATAAGCTTTGGAAGTTTAAGGATGACTGAATAGTGAGAGACTTCCAGGGGGATTTATGTCCCCAGAGTTCTGTGTTTACATTTCAATAAGAGATGAACCCTAGAGACAGTTCTTTACATTCTAAATGATATATTTACATTCAGGAGATGAGGTTCTTCTCTGTCAGGAGGGGAGGGTAAAGCTGGATAGCTGTCCTATATAAACTCCCAGATTCATAATTTCAAGGTTCCTTTTCTACAGTGCAAGAAATCCCCTTTACACACACAGAAAGACTTGTGATCCTCACCATATTGCCTTGCATGAGGAAGATAGGGGATAGAAAACTGATGCAGTCATTGCTGAGAGTAAAAATTATAGTTGGCCTATACTCCAGAAATCTCATGTTAGCTTTCAGGATAAAAGTGAATTAATATTAAATATTAAAAATGTATCACCCCCTATATAAGAGTGGAGTTTTCCTAAGGTCAGTGCCTCTCAGATGGGATACAAATGCTTTTGTGCACAGTATGAACCTAATCTATTTGGCTCCTCCTGATCAACCAAATCTACTGAACTGTATGTAGCACACCAACCTAGAATGTGGATTATACACTGTTGCTTGAGAACTACTTGACCACTTGACATTTACCCAAATAAAATAAATACCTATGTTTACATAAAAATTTGTACATGAATGTTTATAGCTGCTTTACTCATCATTATAAAAAACTGGGAAGAATCCAAATACTGCTACACTGAGGAATGAAGAAATGGACTGTGATGGAATTCTAGTCACCAATAAAAAAGGAACAGTACTGACCAACATAACAACCTGGAAGAATCTCAAATGCATCATGCTAAGTGAAAGAAGCCAAACTCAAAAGGCTACATAGTTCAGGACTCCATTTACATGGCATTTTTAAAAGGCAAAAAGCATACTGTCAGAAAATTGGTAAAAATTGGTTGCCAGGGGTTAGAACTGGAGTAGCAGCTGACTATGAAATTTTGGGGAGTGATAGATTGTTATACAGCTTAATTATGTTTGTGATTATATGTTCTTATATTTCTGTCAAAACTTGCAGAACTGTACACTAAAAACAATGAATTTAAGCAGTAAAATGCATTTAACAAAATTCAAGAAACATATATAAGAGGTATCTGCAGGTTAAAAAAGGGTAAGTATTCAAACTGAGAGTTGAAAAATAAGAGACTCATTCAGATATATGAAAGAACAGAAACCATATGCTTTGACCTAACTTTTTAAAATAAATGAGCATTGTTCATGAAAATGTGACAATCATGAGAAATAAGTAAAAGGTATTTCCTAGTTTTAACCCCACTGAACACAAACATGTTCACTTACAGCTAAAAGGAATTATTGTAATAAAAGAGCTAAAACTGAAAAATATTTCACTAATACAAGTAGGAAAAAAATTAAAAAATACAGGTAGTTAGTTGACTGCATAATCAGAAGAAAAGAACTTAGCAAACAACTGTATCATTTAAATGCCTCTATATCAAGCACACAAAATAAAAATGCTACAACTAGATACAACTCAGTAGTAACTTGTATTGATAATTTGTTAGAAAGAAAACTGAATCACAGCACTTTATTAATAAAATACATAAGAAACGTCACATTAATCAGCCAAGTGCAAAAAAGTTTGACAATACTAAGTATTCGATAAGACTTTAAATGCAATGAAGTAGAAAACCAACTGTAACCCATAAAACTGTATTTCATATGAAAGAAAATACCAGGGAAATGGAAAATAAACATAAGAATAAAATATGTAACAAATGTCTATACAAAGAATATTGATTAGAAAAGCAAAACTGAAATGTAGCATTATTCTCTTTCTTTCACTATCAGACCCATTTTACTAATAAAGCCCCTACCTCATTCCTGTTACATTCTCCCCTTAGTCCCTAACTCAGGCACAAGAACTAAAATGAAAAATTCACTAACAATGCATAATAGAATATTGGATATGGCAGAAAAAAACATTCAATGAACTTGAAGATGGATCAAAAGAAATTAATTTGAAAATTTCACTCAGGCAAAAACCAAAACAATACTGAAGAAAATGGAACAATACCTCAGAGACCTATGGGACAATATCAAACAGCTTAACATACATGTAACTGATATCCTGAAAGGAGAAAAAAGTAATCAGGTGATAGAAAATAAAAATTCCAAGAAACATAGCCAATAATTTTCTTAATTTGATAAAAAAAAAACATTGACTTATGGATCCAAGAAGCTCAGTTATACATAAGCAGGAGAAATTCCAAGAAAAGCCACACCCAGGCACATGAGAGTCCAACTGGTAAAAACAAAAGATAAATAAGAAAAGAGCCAAAAGTAAAACAGAGCACATTATGTAAGAAACAATGGAAGCGAGAAAGCAAGAGAATATGTTAAAAAGTACTGAAAAGGAAAAAAAAAAGTCAACCTCCAATTCTATATCCAGTAAAAATTACCTTCAAAAACAAATGGGTGATGGGTATTAAGGAGGACACTTGTAATGAGCACTTGGTATTGTATGTAAATGATGAATCACTAAATTCTACTCCTGAAACTAATATTACACTGTATGTTAACTAACTAGAATTTAAATAAAAACCTGAAAAAAAAGAAAAAAAACAAAGATGAAATAAAGGCATTCTCACATGAATGAATACTAAACAAATTCATCTCCAGCTGTACTACAAGAAATGCTAATGGATGTTTTTCAAGATGAAGGGAAACTTGGGTCTACAGGTAAAAATAAAGCACATCAGAAATA